AAAAAAAAAACAAAAAACAAAAAACAAAACAAAACAAAACAAAAACAAAAATCATCAAGGTTGGTGACCTAGATCATTTTTTTTACCTTGGGTCACAACCCGGTTGTGAAATGGAATGAGACACTTGTCCCATTCTTATTGGTATTTTTTAGTATTAATTTATATTAAATAAAAAAATAAAAATATTAAAATTTGTATTTTTTTCATTCTTTATAAATAGAGACCACATTCAATAGGGTTTGGAAAACAATTGTAATTTTTAAATAAAATAAATGTTAAGGTTGAGTTGAGTTGTGAATAAAGATAAGTTAGGTTGTAAAAGTTGGGTTGTTTAGGTGGTGAAAGAGAAATAATTTTTTATTCTTTGGTTGAGTTGGATTGAGTTATGAATAAATATAGTCTAAATAATAGTGAGACATTCAACTATTAGAGTAACATATAAGATCTTTGCTTAAATATGCATTATTACAAGTAAGTGGTTTTCTGGAGCCTAGTACTTTGAGAAAATTACTCCCCTTATTAATGATTTGACAAATAATATTAAAATTACGAAGTGCTAAATTTTTCATGACAAGTACGAGAGATTTAATCTGTATATTTAGTTCTATCTCTCTCTCTCTCTCTCGACCAACCTTAGATGATCGAATTCCCGTTGACTTTCTCTCTCTCTCTCTCTCTCTCTCTTTCTCTCTCTCTCTCTCTCTCTTTCTCTCTCTCTCTCTCTCTATTCCTTCTTTATCTATTTCTTCGTGCGGCGGATCCAATCGCACAAGGCAAGATGGAATTGGAGGCCAAGTATCAAACAATTTTCTCGATTTTTTTTTCTTTTTCCAAATTTTTTCTCAATTCGTGGACCACCCACCCCCATCACCCTTTTGACGGGCGGCGGCTAAGAAGGTCGTGATCGGCTAGGAGTCGCGATTGGAGTTTGTATGCGGGTAACAAAGGCGGAACGAAGATTAGCAGTTCTGATGGCTCTCGGTGACCCAACTCCAATGTTTACTTGTTATGGTTCATATCTCAATTCAAATACGAAATAAGAACTAAAATCAATCAATCCGTCGATCGGCTTCAAGCAATGCCATGATTCACTCGTGCAACGTCGAAGATGCACCATGGCTCATTGAGAAGATGAAGGGGTGACGTTGGGAGTGGTGAGGCCAATCAATCCCGTTTCATAATTGTTTATATGTCGTGTATCTTATGTATAACTATATTCAATTTGGATTTTACAGTCTTTTAAAATTGTGTATTATGTTTAATCCCATTTCAGAATTATTTATATATTGTGTATCTTATGTATAACTATAGGTTAATAATAGAAAACTGCCATATCATGTTTATCTGATATATATATACAATATATCTAAANCGATTATTTAGTCGTGAATTAATGCACATTTAACATGCATAGAAAAAAAAATTAATAGCTGGTGCGTGAAAGTCATTTCGTATATATGAAAAAAGATCCAATCAAAATCTGATTTTGATGAAAAGTTGTTAAGAACGTATATATGTAAATATTTTCTATGGGGGCTCTACATATGTAAATTTTTCTAATCACAATTCACAAGTAAGTGGTTTTCTGATTTTGATGTAAAATTATTAAGAACGTATACATGTAAATATTTGCTATGGGCGCTCTACATACGTATGTAAACTAGTACAGTACCCGTGCGATGCACGGGATGGTATATTTTCCTGAAATGTTTAACGTGTGAAATATTAAAAATAATATAATTTATATATATGTAATAAAAATAAATGGATTGCAAAGAAGGAAAAAAAATATAAATTATTGAACACTTTCTTTGTGAAGTAAAATTTGTGAAGGTTTGGTATATTTGATTATGAATAGAAAAGTATGAAATACTACCTGCAGACCGTTGAGATAGATGAGAAGATTTACTTAGAATATATAGAATAAATATTGAGATAATGATTTACCTTTTACCTAGTATAGATAAAATAAATATTGACATGATGTGGGAAAATTATGACGAATTATGACATAAATTCGTTTAGAAAATATTCAAAAATTAGATTTATTTTTTATTTATTAAATCTTTACAGTAATTCGTACGTTCCTTTTCATACGCTTAATTTATCAATTTTACACATACAAATCAAAATTAATGCAACTCGAAATATTATATAACAAATAAAATGAGTTTTTTATCTAACATTTAGTATATTGCCGGAAAACTTTTTATAAATCTTATTCTCTTTTTATGCACATAGATATTAAAGAATGAGTAAAAAAAATATCTAAATATGTTTAAAAGTATCTAATATTATATGTGTTAACAATGTTACAACCAAAAGACATTAAGAATACGCAGACTATTATATAACATATGTGAAAGTATTAAAATATTTTATATTATTATTGAAAAATGTGAAATTACCTCAATTTTGTCTAGACTATTTTATAAGAAAAATATATATACTTAAAGTTAGCACACACATATATATATATATATATATCCTTAAAATTTGCCCAACTAACATGTTTAAAAGTAGATAAAATTTTATATATAAAATACGTTTAAAGTTTACATATTTTACAAAAATTAGACTGCTCTCAGTTTATATAAAGTTTGTTGCTCTCATATTCGGATAACGTATTATGCATTTAATGAAAGCACCTACGATACAAATTTATAAATATTAATTAAAATAATTTTCTAAATTATATAAAATTGAAATAACAAAGGTAAATATTACATGTTCATCGTGCGTTATAGCTCTCCGTTCGTGATGGGTTTCAATAATGCGGACTGCTCTCAGACACAAAAAAGGTTTATTATAAATATTAATTAAAATAATTTTCTAAATTATATAAAATTGAAATAACAAAGGTAAATATTACCTGTTCATCATGAAAATGCGTTACAGCTCTCCCGTTCGTGATGGGTTTGAATAATGCGGACTGCTCGTGATGGGTTTCAATAATGCGGACTGCTCTCAGACGCAAAAAAAGGTTTGTTAAAAATATTAATTAAAATAATTTTCTAAATTATATAAAATTGAAATAACAAAGGTAAATATTACCTGTTCATCATGAAAATGCGTTACAGTTCTCCCGTTCTCGTGATGGGTTTCAATAATGCCGACTGCTCTCTCCCGTTCTTGATGGGTTTCAATAATGCGGACGGCTATCAGACGCAAAAAAGGTTTGTTATAAATATTAATTAAAATAATTTTCTAAATTATATAAAATTGAAATAACAAAGGTAAATATTACCTGTTCATCATGAAAATGCGTTATAGCTCTCCCAGTGGGTTTCAATAACTCTCAGACGCAAAAAAAGTTTGTTATAAATATTAATTAAAATAATTTTCTAAATTATATAAAATTGAAATAACAAAGGTAAATATTACCTGTTCATCATGAAAATGCGTTATAGCTCTCCCGTGGGTTTCAATAATGCGGACTGCTCTCAGACGAAAAAAAGGTTTGTTTCTTTTGTTAACGTACCCCAGTCTGGAAGCATTATATATCAAGTGTACCCCAGCCTGCTCGTGATGAGTTTCAATAATGCGGACTGCTCTCAGACGCAAAAAAGGTTTGTTATAAATATTAATTAAAATAATTTTCTAAATTATATAAAATTGAAATAACAAAGGTAAATATTACCTGTTCATCATGAAAATGCGTTACAACTCTCCTGTTCGTGATGGTTTCAATAATGCGGACTGCTCTCTCCCGTTCGTGATGGGTTTCAATAATGCGGACTGCTCTCAGACGCAAAAAAGGTTTGTTATAAATACTAATTAAAATAATTTTTTAAATTATATAAAATTAAAATAAAAAAGGTAAATATTACCTGTTCATCATGAAAATGCGTTATAGCTCTCCCGTTCGTGATGGGTTTCAATAATGCGGACTGGACGCAAAAAAAGGTTTGTTTCTTTTGTTAACGTACCCAGTCTGGAAGCATTATATATCAAGTTTACCCCAGTCTGGAAGCATTATATTGTATATGCGATGAAAAATTATTCACTGTATTTTTTTTTTCCCTGAACTCGTGAATGATGAGTTGTAATGGTGGTAGTGAATATCCTTTTATACAATTTTTTATTAACAAAAGTGATAAGATAATTATGGATTGTATTTGGATAGATTTTAAATACCATGATTTTTGGGATGCAACAACAAAATATGCAATCACATGTATATATCTTATCACGTTAAAGGTATATCCATCCCTAAAAAACAGGAAAAAAAAAACATATATTTTGAAAGGATTTTTAAATTAGTTTCTACAAATGGAAAGTCAATGGGGTTGTTGACCTATTTTTTAAAAGTTTCCACAAATGATTTATTGACCTCTCTTTTTCAATATATATAGATTTTTCTAATCATAATTCACAAGTAAGTGGTTTTCTGAAGCCTAGTACCTTTAGGCCCACTAATAAGCCCAATCGTTCACCAGAGCCTCCACTATTGGGCTTTCTGTATTCGTAAATAGATTTTACTTATAACTTTTGTTTTCTTAAGACATTAAAATAGGAGCTCACAATAAAAAACAAAATAAAATACGAATACAAGTTACATATACCAATATTCTAAATATTTTTTAAGATTTAGAATTGAATAACAACCCAAATCACACTTACAAAGAATATTGTACTTTAACAATCAAGACTCACGAATACTTTAAGGTTAGTCACCCAAAATTTCTTTATTTTTCTCCTTTTTCTTTCAAATTAATTATTTCATAATCCCATTTCAGAAATAATTTAATCCGTAATCATAATACACAATAAATACTACAGTAATGATACTAATAATAATAGTAATGATACTCCCTCCATTTTGAAATATAAGGCATTTAAGGTTATTGCACAAATATTAAGGAAACATTAATTAACGAATAAATTGACTAAATTAACCTTATTTACTCTAATCACAACCATTCCACACTTCCTTAATTTCAACACAATGAGGGTATATTTGGAAAAAAATGCAAAAATTTGTCTTGATTTTTGAGCGCGCCTTATATTTCAAAAAACTAGTACAGTGCCCGTGCGATGCACGGGAGCATTTATTACCTAATTACTTTTTAAAAAGTATTTTTTCATTTAAATTGTCTCATGACATTAAAAATATCATGAAAATAAAATTTATATATTATTGAACACTTCCTTATGTACAACATTCTTGGTTTAATTTTATGACACGTAAAATATTACATGGGTGTTCGAATTTGATCTAAAATTGTGTATTATTAGTTATTAGTTAATAGATTACATTTTTTAAAAAAATTAAGGATCTTATTTATTAAGAAAAAAAATTAGTAAGAAAAAGGTATAGATTTATATGAATTTTCATGCCATTTTTTTTTTAATCTAATTCAAAACTTTGATTAAGAAAAATTGAAAAGATTCATTAGTTTTTTTTTTCTCTAAAAATTAAACATTATATATTGTTTAGTTTGTTGCTTGTTTTGTATTTATATTTTTTAACTTACAAACGTAATTTGTAAAGTGTGGATTTTAAGAAGTGTTAAATTCTTGTTATATTTTTTAATATCAAAATATCATTTTAAAAAAGATCGCTAGGCTACGGTTTAAGCTTGCTCCCGACATTGATTAGCTTACCAAATAAGATCATGCTTATCAATTTTATTTTTGAAATCCTTATCCGATTAGTTACTTGTTTTCTAGATATATATTTGTAACAACCATTAGTATTTTGGATAGCTATGAATCAAAAAAATATAAAATATTTATATAAGATATATAAATAAAATTGATATCAAATGATGTTTTTATTTATGTAAACTTACATAAGGAACAATATAGTAATATATTATTTAGAAACACGGATTTAAGTAATAATCCGAAAAATTATGAAAACCGATTTGAGTGCAAACCAAAAGAGTGTGATTAGAACGTGCATTTTGATTTGTTGCAAATATATAGTATATATTTTTTGATTTGTTGCTTGGTTTGTAGATATATTGTTTTAACAACCAAAGATATTTTGTAAATTGTGGAGTCTAAGAAGTATAAAAATCTTGGTATAACTTTTATATTCAAAATATCATTTTATAAAAGATTGATTAGTCTAACAAATAACCTCATGCTTATCAATCTTATTTTTTAATTGCATGTCGGAATAGTTAATTTATTTGTGCATATTTTTTTTTATTCCAACCAAATATATTTAGTATTTTGGATATTGTAGATTCTATGAATAATTCAAATATTGGTATATGGTTGTAGATTTCAATTCAAACTCATATAGGATTAGGATTTATGGTTATAGATTTATTTGGTTTTAACAACCCAATGGTAGAAAAATTATCAAAAGATTTGGTGTAACATTTCAAACCCTTATCCGATTAGTTACTTGTATTCTAGATATGTATTTGTAACAACCATGGATAGTCTGGATTCTATGAATCAATAAAATATAAAATATAAAAACAAAATTGATATCAAATGATTTTTTATTTATGCAAACTTCCAATCGGATCAATATAGTAATATATTATTGAAAACCATGGATTAAGTAATAATCCGAAAAATTGTGAAAATCGATTTGATTGCTCACAAAAGAGTGTGTGATTAGCACGTGCATTTCGATTTATTGCAAATATAGAGCATATATTCTTTGATTTGTTGCTTGGTTTGTAGATATATTGTTTTAATAACCAAGGATATTTTGTACATATATTTTTATTCCAACCAAATATATTTAATATTTTGGATAGTGTGGATTCTTTGAATGATTCAAATCTTGGTATATGGTTGTAGATTTTAATTCAAATTCATATAGGATTAAGCTTTATGGTTATAGATTTATTTAGTTTTAACAACCCAATTGTCTGGTTGCCAAAGATTTATAGTTTTGGTGTGATAAATTAATACGAACAACTCAATCCAAACTAATAGAATAATAGAAAATATCAACCAACTTATTTATATATTAAAGCAAAAGCCTCGACAACTATATGTTACCTAGAGGCTGCTAAGATTTTTTTTTTTTTTTCCAACGATAGAGAACTCCATTAATAACGAAAATGAACAACAAAGAGTACAACCCCCGAGAGGACAAACACTGAGAGACACACTTCAACAGTGGTTTAGAAGCAACGACCCACAACACGACTAAAGCAGGGACAAACGGCCGGAACCCTTTAGCCGGTTTAATCCACCAAACACCTAAATACCACATCCTAAAGCTATCTCACATAAAGCTCAAAACCACAACACATAAAGACTACAGGTGTACTTACACACAACAACACATTTTCTTAAGACATTAAAATAGGAGCTCACAATAAAAAACAAAATAAAATACGAATACAAGTTACATATACCAATATTCTAAATATTTTTTAAGATTTAGAATTGAATAACAACCCAAATCACACTTACAAAGAATATTGTACTTTAACAATCAAGACTCACGAATACTTTAAGGTTAGTCACCCAAAATTTCTTTATTTTTCTCCTTTTTCTTTCAAATTAATTATTTCATAATCCCATTTCAGAAATAATTTAATCCGTAATCATAATGCACAATAAATACTACAGTAATGATACTAATAATAATAGTAATGATACTAATAATAATACCATCATTTTTCTCCTATTTCTTTGATCCATCCCCTTGGAAACATAAAAAGCCAGAGCAAGCGTAGAAAAAACCAGACCTACATTTTTGCGTGAAGAATAAAAAATCAATGGGCGATCATATAGCAAGGGCCGAGGACTTCGAGCGCCGAGCCGAGAAGAAGCTTGCCGGTTGGGGTATATTCGGCTCTAAATATGAAGACGCCGCCGATTTATTCGACAAAGCCGCCAACGCTTACAAACTCGCCAAATCATGTATCGATCGATTTTTCGATAAATCTCTCGTTTTTCCTTTCCAGTAATTGGTTGTTAAATTTCTATGCTAGGTCAATTTAATGTCCGTGTTCGTTTTATTTCTTGTGATCTTTGTTTGTACATTTTTCATATACTTTCGTTGAGGAAATGTTAATTAACGAAATATATTTTGTTTGTTTAATTTTTTCATCATAAGCTTGATGGGAATGCATTGGATTATCTTGATTTTACTTGAGATGAAATTGAAAATCTATGATTGGGGCATGGCATTTGCAAATTAGGGAACACTTTTTTTCTTTTTTTGTTTTGTTTTGTTTTGTTTTGTAAGAGCAATGAAGCCATCGTTATCTGTGATAATAGCATTAGAGTAAAGATATTTCCTTCTTTCTTTTTTATTAAGATTAAAGATATATCTACTTTAGATAGTTTGTAAATCTTAAAATGAATCACAAATGATAGTTTCTGTATTATCAAGGATTTTCATGTCTCTGGAGTTTTCGTAGCGCATGATTTAGCTCAAATGGTGAAAAAAATGGTTTTCTTAGGGGATCAGGCTGGAGCAGTTTATGTTAAGTTGGCCAACTGTCACTTGAAGGTAAGTTTTATGCACAATATCGTTTTTGAGCTGGCTGAAATATGACCTATATTTTCACCTATCCACTTTATTGGTACTTAAGAGTTTTATGATTCTTGATATCTTATATCTTCAGTTAGATAGCAAGCATGAAGCCGGTAACGCATATGCTGATGCTGCTCATTGCTACAAGAAGTCTAACATGAAAGGTGTGCGGATATTTTCATTTTTGCACTTTCTATTACTGGATGCTTTTCAATTTCTGCTTGTAGGCATGTTTGTGATGCAGACTAGAGAGTAATTTGTGTAGTTGTTCAGAAATGTCTAGCTAATTCATTATCTTGCTTTTATGTGCCTGAGTGAAGGAAGCAGTTTAAGGCAATTATAGCCTAGTTTATTTTCTTACGTTGTTGTCCCGCTTTCTTGATGTCATTGGTGCATTCAATTAATGCGTTAACGGGAAAAGATTTGGTTTTGTGAGGATCTGATCAAACCCATTTTCAATCTTTGCTCATATTGAGATTCTATTTTGATCCTGCTTCCTTGGTCACAAGCAGCTTCCCCTTTGTATTTCTTTTTAATTCATCTTTTGTGAACTTGAAGCTAGTTTGGTAACATCCTGATATAATTCCCATGCGTGCTTTGCAGAGTCTATATCATGCCTGGAAGAGTCTGTAAATCTATTCATGGATATTGGAAGGCTTAATATGTGTGCCAGATATTATAAGGTAAAAACATTAAATAGGTACACATATATCTGGCTGCTGTTTCATAACCTCAAAAGAGTTTCTTAGCCTTAGACATGAAACACCAGCTTCTATCTTGAAATTTGGTTCATTGATCATCCTAGTAATTATGGTGCTGTTAAAATCTGAGTTATTGAATAGTAATTGTTGTATTTTGGATATAGCCAGAATGAGATTTGCTACATTTCAGGAAATAGCTGAGTTGTATGAGCAAGAACAGAACTTGGAACAAGCTATTGTTTACTATGAAAAAGCTGCTGATCTTTTCCAAAGTGAAGACGTGACAACATCTGCGAATCAGTGCAAGCTGAAAGTTGCGCAGTATGCAGCTCAGTTGGAACAGTTAAGTTTGCCTGCTCTCTTTGCATGATTATCCAGATCATGTACTTACTGATGATGTTATTTCATACATGTAGCAGCGCTATTCATTTCTTGTTAATGCTCTGTTTATGCTTCGGGTCTTCAGTTACTCCCTCCTTTGTTATTTACTTGTTTTTCTTTTCTTCTTGGCTATATGATTTCCATGGTTGACTCTCAATGAATATTAAGGGCAGTTGAATATGCTTTCATTGAAAAACAAAAAAACAACTCTCCGTTGAAAAATACTCGGGGAAAAATAATTATTTTAATAATTTGAATTGTTAGGAAATAGTAAACAAAAATGACTGACAGATACAAATATGTGTGGCTGAATAGTAAATTTTATAGAGAAATTTTGTAGAATTGATTGATTATTATTGAAAAATTATATTGATAAAATTGATGAGGAAAAAGTGAGATAGATAACTAGTTTATTTTTTGTCTATGGAATATAAAGGTCCCATTGTCGATATCCAATCGCACCTAGAAGGTATCATTTTTTAGGGGGAACTTCTGTTTTCATCATTTACCTCTTCGACTAAATCTTCACTTGCTTACGAATCATACATGTGGCACAAAAGATAAAAAACTGATGTTATTTTTTGCTGAGCAACTCCGTAACCATTGACTTACTGTAATTCCATGATTGTATACACCTCTAAATCTACATATACTACAATTTGTTCTTTGCTTGCTTAATTTAATTTTGGGTAATGAAATACTAGTCAAAATGCCTGCAAGATCCGTTTATCAGACTTTTACTTAGATTCCTCTTGCTGAAATTTGTCAAACATGTGTTGAACAAGTTCTGGAAAACACTTCAAATTTTTTGTACTTACACTCATTTGAAGTTACATTCATTCTTTATCTTGAATAAAATTGAATCTTGTGCTGAAAATGGGTTAACGTTTTTTCTCAGATATCCAAAGGCCATCGAGATCTATGAAGATATAGCACGACAGTCACTCAATAACAACTTGCTGAAGTATGGAGTTAAAGGGCACCTTCTCAATGCTGGAATTTGCCAGCTGTGCAAGAATGATGTCGTTGCTATCAACAATGCATTAGAGCGATATCAGGTATATATGTTGTTCTCATATCTACTGACAGTTCTACTTTTTTGTAATTAATACATAGTAAGGAGAAGCTTTTGCTCTTCATTTGCAGGACCTCGATCCAACATTTGCCGGAACACGCGAGTACAAATTGCTAGCGGTATGCTGTGGTGTTCTCAATCATTAGTTCTATTTCCTCTTTCTTAAATATTTCCTCCTTGATACTCAGATTTTTCTTCGTCCCCCCAGAATTGATAATCTATATATACATTTTGTGTCTCTTCATCTAGGATTTAGCTGCTGCCATTGATGAGGAAGATATGGCCAAGTTTACAGATGCAATCAAAGAATTCGATAGCATGACCCAGCTGGTAAGTGTGGATTATTATTTACAATTATTATCTCGTTCGATTATTTTGAACTTTTAGGATGTTGGTTGAACTCACCTAATCTATCGTTTTCTGTAAAACTGATTCCCTCCAAACCTGCCTGTGAATAGATTATTGTATTCTAATTCTATTCATTATTCATTTTTCCCTTCCCTTTTGTAGAAAATAACTCCTCTTACTTACAAGGTAATGGTGCTTCTTTGAGTTTAGATTAGAAATTGAACTTCTTTTTCGATTAATTTGACATGGTTTGCTTGGGTTTACGGATGCAAATAATAATTGTGCTTGCTAATGTTTTTCATCGTTTTTTGTTTATTTGTTAGGATGCTTGGAAGACAACACTACTATTGAGAGTGAAGGAAGCCTTGAAGGCCAAAGAGCTCGAGGAAGATGATCTTACTTAAAAAACCCTCATTACCCTTTTCATGCGATAGCTTCAAGCTTTGATTTGATTCAGATGATTTGACTCTGTATACCTCTGCGTCACGCAAGCTATTTCTACTTGATTTCATTTCTTGGAGTGAATATGATTTACATGCGTAAAATTGAAATGTAGACAAGACTTTTTATTGTAATATAAACAAAAAATATGAATGGTGTATTTTCTACAATTCGGTTACTTACGCTGTTGCATACTTTTCTAGGCTTGAATAAGCAATTATCAAACTTTATTTTGTAAAAGCAATATTTAAGGAACGCAATTAATTGTCTTTGTAAAACTTTGAACAAGAAGAAACAAGTGTTTGATAGATAGATATGTACACTTTTTAGTTGGCTGCACGCGTGTTTATTCTTTTACCTCATGACTACGATTATTTCTTCATGTCCCTTGCTGACCTTTTCAATTTATATATATACTAGTATAACACCCATGTATTACATGGGTGGAGACGGTGTCTCATCCCGTCATAAAAGTGGGATGGGTATGCGGACAAATCAAATCCAAGATCGTTCCTGACCGCGCTCACTCCTACCATAAATAATCAACATATTTATAGATAATCCAAACTTATCCAAGCCTAATAACGAAGCATGTAATTTTGCCACATAGGATCCCGAAGCATGCGAGCCTGCCACATAGGCTCAACACGTTCTCAATTAATATATAAGGGGGATATATTGTATTTCAAGGAACTTCTTGAAATACAAGAAAAGAAAAAGGTAGCATTTTTTTTAAACAAAATGAAAAATTTGCAGGAAAGAGCTCACGTATTCAACTAATTAATGTAGAAGAATAAAAAACACGAAGAAGCAAATATAAAATCGAGACCCCATGCAAGCAACTTTGTATGATTTTTAAGTTGGTATTGTCGTAGACAGTTTAACTATTAAACCCAATCACAAACTCTTATTAACAAGTATTCATATTTTCATTAGAAAATATAAAAATGTCTAGTTATTACAATTACTAAATTTAATAGTATAAGTATGTAGTTTTGTTCAAAATAGCATGGAATTGCTAACGATTATATTGACTTTTAAAAATAATTTTTGATAATTTCAAATTTGACAAGTATTTTTTATTTTTTTTTAACATTTTGCCACTTGTTTTAAAATTGGAATTGGAACAGTTGGGTCCCCTTACCCATTATGAAGCAAAAGAAAAGAGATACAAAAATAATAAATAAATAAATAAAATAAAATAAAATAAAATAAAAAAAAGAAAAATTAAAGCTTTCGAGAACAGAGCTGAAGTCATTCTCTTTGAAAACTTGATGCTTGTTCATGGCGAAGTTACCCCTCGATTCCCATCAGCTGAACAACCTCGCGACTCAGCATTAAATGGAGAAAATATTGAAGCCCAAGTGATTTTCTTGTGCATATGACTCTTTGTGAGTACTACTTTCTTTAAACTCCTCTTTTTTTTGTGGTTTTCATTTGCAGCCATGATATTATCATCGCTTTGTATTTCGTGCATACGTTTGTTTTGTGATTGTATGTGTGGGATGATTTCGTGCTTTCTTTTAGTGGTATATCATGAACTAATTAAAAATCTGAGCACAAATTGCTGGCTGTTGTGTATAAATTCATGAATTTCCCCAATTAGTGAAGTGATGTTTAATCTTAGGCAATCTGGGTTTAAAGACGTAGGAATGGAATTCATGTTTAGATCTTGAATTTTGCTCAATTTCCTCATGTGCAGAACTCTTCAGGGGTTCTTATCACAGTTAATTTTATTTATGTTTTGTCTCCACAATTTTTATCAGGCTGAAATCCTGTTTTTCTACTCAAGTGTAATACGGTGATTTTTAAATCAGCCACTTTACTTCATTGACATCTGATTCTGCTGCTTTACAGCTCTCTAGCATTCAATCTCCACAATCTGAAAGACTAAGCTACTGATCACAACTTTCCATCCCATATC